TCATGATGATGATGAAAACGAAGATGACTGCTGAGCATGAACCCTGAGCCAAGCCAGTGCTAAGCACTTAAAATACAAGGATTACTTCATTCAACTCCTTCAATGGCCCTTCGAGGAGGGTTATTCCTCCTAGTTATTCCCACCTTACAGACATGGAATTGAAGCCACATAGCCTGGGTCCTGGAGCTTATAAATGGGGAGCCAAGATTCACACCCAGGTCTGTCTAGTGCACAGACCACATTTTCAACCCCAACACTGGAGCCTGGATGCTGAGGCCTGGCCCTACCACCTCTCACCTAGGCAACCCCTGTGTGCCTCAGTTTCCTCACAGGCCAAGTACAGGTTGGGTCAGCTGATCTCACCATCCCTTTAGAGCTCCTAAGTCTTATGAGGCCATCATCTCAGCCTCCTCTAGAACAAGACAGTCCTGTTCCCCTGGGGATGACTAAGCAAAGAAAAGCCCCATTTCCCAGTAGGGGCTGAGGTTGACTAGAATTTTCCCAGAATTCAGGCGTATAGCACAGGTTGTCTGGCTTCACCTGAAGCCCTAAACCTGTCCCTGGGAACAGGGACTCTGAGCTGCCTGGGCTTCCAAAACCTCTGTAAAGGAGTCTTTCTTGGCAGAGTGAGCAGAATGGGCAGGACCCCCCTGGGTTTCCGCATCTCTGAGCCCAGCCAAGGAAATGAGGCTCCCAGCCTCTGGCTGCCCTGAGCCTTGGAGTCCTGGGTCAGCCCCAGACAGGAGGAGAGAGGCCGTGGGGCTTGGTGAGAAGCCTGGGCACTGGAAATCAGGGCCTCCCAGCTCAGCTCCCCGCTGGATGACCACTCCACTGGGCTGTCAAAGTGACTGACTCAACACTGACTTTGCAGAGGGCCACAGAAGGTACACACAACCTTGACGGGAGCTCTTCAGCATGCAGCTATGTAACCAATACCTGCATGTTGGCTCCTATGTCCATCCAAGTAAAGGACGGTGTCCTCATTCATTCATTCCCCGCTCAAATGGCCATTGAGCAATTACGATGATCTTTGAGGCAATGTCCTTGGTTCGGGGACAACACCGTGAATAAGAAGACCAAAGCTTTGCCTACACGGAGCTTACAGTCTGATAGGGAGAGAGACAATAAACCAACAAACCAAATATACGATGGTAGGTGGCGTGGGTGATCAAACGAAATAAAGGAGGGGACAAGGGCACATGAGGAGGTTAGGAAAAGTGGTGCCAACTGAGCATCAAATTTCACAGCACAAACTTCTGATGCTGGAAAGTTTCTGCCACAAAACAGAGGGGGAAAATAGCAAGAACACACATGCCATGAGGAGGGACAGGGTGTCTGGATTCCAGCGAGAGAAGCAGAAGGTGACAGGAGCTGAGGTTAGGGGAGCACGGAGTGGCTGGCTATGCAGGCCTGTAGCAAAGAGCAACTCTGTCAGCTGTCCAGCCTTCCTTCTTCATCTCAGTGAAGCTTAAAGGGTCACACCCCTCGGGTCCCTTTGTTGTTGTTAGTGCCATCGAGTCGATTCCTACTCCTAGTGACCCTGTGTACCCTGCCTGGTCTTTTTTGCACCATCCTCTCACCGTCCAGCATCAGACAATGCTCTGCTGCTGTTCATAGAGTTTTCACGGCCAATTTTTTCAGAAGCGGGCAGCCAGATCCTTCTTCTCAGTCTGTCTTAGTCTGGAAGCTCTGCTGAAACCTGTCCACCGTGGGTGACCCTGCTGATGTTTGAAATTCCAGTGGCATAGCTTTCAGCATCCCAGCAACACGCAGCCGCCACAGTGTGACAACCACAGACAAGTGGTGTGGCTCCCTGACTGGGAAATGAACCAGGGCCACAGCGGTGAGAGCGCCAAACCTTAACCACTAGACCACCATTGGCTCCCTTAGTTGGCCATCAAAGTGCACGGCTTTGACAAGAGGCAGGGTGACTGACTGCTCATTTATACAACTCACAGTGGGGGGTAGCTGGGGCATAAATATTTATTTCCTCCAGCTCATGCCACTCTTGATAATGGGAAGTTGGATATCAAAATTCTGGAACCCCAACACATGATGTCATTGCTACTGCCAGGGACAGATACTCTACCCTATTCTCCCCCAGCTGCCCCAAACCAGGCTCTTTAGGGGCAGGTCAGGCCAGGTGAACATGCTAGGTCTCCACACCTCCTCATCCATGAAGACCAAACAAGCCCACAAGAACCCTCTGAGATCCTGGGCTCAGGGGACCAGCAACTCCAGGCGTGGTGCATTTCCTGATGCCTGGCCCTGCCTGGCCCTCTAATCAATTCTGATATTTCTACTTGTGCCTGCTTCTGCCCAGGCATCCCCATTCATAGCCTCAGACTGACCCCCTCCCTCTCTCAGATGAGCCTGAGTCCTCCACTCTCCTCTGCCCACCTGCCGTGGAGAGGACTTGTCCCTGCAGCCCACTGACCTGGACCAGCCAGGATCCATTTTGTGGGTCTTGATGTGAACCCAAGCTCCACAGTCCTCAGGCACGTTCTCCTTATTTGATAGTCTTCCTCTCAGCTCTGGTTCTCAACGTTTGCCTAACAACGGAACCATGCGGGAAATTTTTGAAAAATACTAGTGTCCAGGTTCTACTCCAGACCAATTAAATCAGAATCTTTAGGTGAGGGCCAGGCATTAGTATTTCCAGAATTGCCCACATAATTCCAATGTGCAGCCAGGGCTGAGGATCGCTATGCTAAACGGGTCTTCTTCAACTTTAATGTGCGTACAAATCACCTGGGGATCTTGTTAAAATGCAGATTCGAATTCAGTAGGTCTGGAGAAGGGTCCATGGTTCTGCTTTTCTAACAGGCTCCCATGGGATGCAGTCACTGCTGGTCCACGGACCACACTTTGAGTAGTGAGGGTCTGTAGGCAGCCAGATTTGAGTAGTGGGGGATGGAAGTGGGCTACACTGATTTTTCTACATCCTAAGTAACCATCTATTATGAAGTTCCCTTTAAAGTTGGAAAGAGACTTCTGGAAGAGTTAGGATAAAAGGGAAGGGAAGAGAAGGGAAGAGGAATTTTCTGCTAATATGGGATTAGGGGCTCCTACACCTAAGAAATGTTACAGGATCCACTCTCTGTTATAAATAAAGTCCCCCACAGAATATCCAGCATATAACAAGTGCTCAATAAATGGTACTTGTGCTACCCATGGTATCACTGTTTTTATTATTATCAGGGCAGGACCCTCATTCCACTTCCTAAACCAAACAAACACGTGCTTTCGACATCCAAGACCCTGACAGACCCCACAAAGCCCTACAAAGCACTTTCACTTTCAGAGGATGTGCCACAAGCAGACTTGAGTCCAGGGGTTTTCATCCCAGACACAACCCCGTGGACCCTGCCTGGTCTAGGGACACAAAGGCCTTTGTTTCTCTCATTTATTTGATTCATTTGCTGTGATTGGTGGATATACTCCCACAGCCCAGTTATGGCTAATATTGAGTGTTGACTATGTGTCAGGACCCATTTTTAAGTGCTCTTGCTGGTTTAACTCATTATATCCTTAAAAACAACTCTAGGCAGCAGGTACTATTCACCACAAGGGCAGATGAGGAAACTCAGAAAGGCAAAGAAACTTGCTCGAAGTCACATAGATCATAAGTGACAGGACCAGAAAACAAGCCGAGGGGGATAGATTTCAGAGCCCAGGCTTTTCCACGGCTTCTCAAACTTTACTTACTAAGTGATTTCACTAACATGCAGGTTCTCATTTAGCAGAGAGATGGAGCCTGAGATTCTGTATTGCTCACAAACTCCCAAGTGTTGCTGATGCGGCCGGTCCACAGACAGCCTTTTGAGTAGCAAAACTCCTCATATGCTCTGCTGCCTTCTGGTATTACCGGATATTTTCCTTAAGATCTCTCTAAAAGACTCTTGCCACCATACTCCTACGATCAGTGATTTGTTGATTTGACCAATGGCAAAATCACAGTAAACCTCCACTTTGAACACTCACACAAAGCTCTGTTTAAACTTCTGTTCGAATTGCAATATTTTGTGGCAAAGGATATCGGCTATTTGGAAAAGCAGTTGGGTCCATTATAAGCTGTAGATGTTGCCGGTTGTTATGAAATTGCTTTTAAATGTAAGTGTCACCATTAAGAATGCCTTCTGGGCCAGCGAAACAAGTCCCATCTCTAAAAGCCGAGTGAAGAGTTCCAATTTGAGAAATATAGGGAGGATTTCTCGAAACACAGGAGTGAATCATATAACTCGAAGCTTTGCTTCTTGGATCACCAGAGGAGAGGATGTATACAGAAACCAGAGAAATGACAAATCTTCCTGTCCAGTGAAAGGCATTTAAGGGCAAATCAAGACCGTCCACTTAATCAGGCTGGACTCAGTGGCTGGAAACTAAATTTCCTTGAGCTTCATTTATTTTCCCTATGATAAGGAAAATGAGCCCTGCTCAGTTTCCTTCACAGGGTCATAGGGATGACCAAGTAAAAGAGTAGAAGGTATAGTGCTATTAAATAGCAGCTCATCATACATCCAAGGAATCTATAACGCACAAAAAAGGGTCACCCTACAATGCAGACATAATCCCCACCCTTGGGAAGTGCTCTTTGAGATAGTTAAGCAGTCTCTACATCTGACTGCAGCAATTTCTTGTCCCATACCTAGCACCGTAGGCAGCCTAAACCATCCCACCACAGGGGCAAGTGGGTGACCGCACTCCACCACGGCTGACGCAAGCTCCCTTTCAGGGAAGAGAATTGTGCCAGCCCCTCACTAAATCACGGATGCCCTAAATCGTCAGCTCCATTCTAGCCCGGACACTCACTGGCGGCAGCCTCCCATGCCAGTCCCTCCCCAGGGGGACAGTCCCCAGACTTGTTCACAAGCCCGCCTGCCCATTAGAGTCTCTCACCACACAGGGCTTCACGACCTGCCCCGCCAGAGCAGAAACATCACTGAAACCTCTCACCAGCCTCAGCAAAGACTCAAGGTGATCAGATCGCTCTCACTTACCTGGAGTCTGCTTGGCCGTACGCACGGGGGTGTAGTGGTTTTTAGAGGACGATCTGACCGGCGTGTTCTCTTTGGGAGAGGTATCGATAGCCGAGATCGTTTCTCTTTCACAGTGTGCTATGGGGATTGGTCCCTGTTGTCTTAAGATGTCAGCCAGAGCCCTAAACGAGAAGGAGATCACACAATGAGATTTACCGAGCAGTTGTGCATGGCCACAAGGAGAGCTGGCTTACTTTTGGAGGCCTTTTGATGTACGGAGCCCTGGGAGGAGATGGAGACACAGCATTCACAGTGCTCAATAGTCACAGTTTCGTTTGGCGCTGGTCTCAGTGGGAAAGCAGGGTAGAGGCTGCCATGCCTGGGGATACAGGCACCAAAAGGCAGTGATTATGGTTTCTTTCTTTAATTCATTTCATAGCAACAAACTCTGAACCTTTTCAAAATACTGGCTCCCCAAATACCCCCCATGCCAGGCAGACCTCTACGGTCGCTGACCAGTGGAATGCCACCACAGTGAATGGTGTCAAATTCAGCAGCAGGTTATTAATATTAGGGGCACCAATATCCCCATCGAAAAACACACTGAGTAGCATGTAGTCTACACTGGTGACGCAAATAAATGCAACACACAGCTCCCGCCGTCAAAGGAAGGCTTGATTTAGCTGCAAAGACAGGACGTACAGATAAAACGATAAATATCAGAACACATGGATGGTGCAGACAGCGAATGCAACTGGAGCTCAGAGGAGGGCGCAATTACAAACACAGACAGGAAAACACACAGGAAGAAAGAGAGATGCACAGAGATGTTTCTGTAGCTGGAACGGCCTACCGCCTCTGCAAGAAACGCAGTTACCCCGAGAGGGCAGCTTTAATTCGCTCAACACCTAGCTTCAACAACCACACATGCACTTATTGAGGACTCACGTGCATTGGTCGCTGCAGAGACAGAGGGAAATCGGACATAATTCCTGCCATCGAGGGGCTCACAGTTAGGGGAAATCACTCCCACACCTGGTTTCAAACAGGACTCCCTCTGTGGGTGTGACACATGAAATAACCACTGTCAATGGAAACACGCAGGGATGCTGTAAGGAGGGAAAGACGAATGTGGACAAGCCACAGGAGACCACCATCTGCATACTGTTATTTTAGGGTCAGGTCTCTGGTTCTCAGTGCACCCCTGCTTTGCATGAGCCAGGCAAGGAGTCTTCTATCTACTCAGGGTGTTCCTGATGGGCGGGCATGGCACCTCACCTCCAGGCCTCTCCCAGCCAGCCCAGCCCACCCTAGGCTTCATTCACACTGGGATTCCAGCTCCTGCATTCTGCCCCCTTGGAAAGTGACAACCATGGCAGTTTAAAAATGTGTCTGAGAGTGAACTGTTTCCTTCCATTAGGCCGCCTCTGACATGCTAAACCTTCCCAGGAGAAGAGCATCGAGCTGGCAATCTTATCATCTACTGGCATTTATACAGCAATTTCAGATTTTCCAAATGCTTTCCCCTCGCTGGCTTTCTTTTCTCTCACGCTGTAAAGGAAAGAGCAGACACATGCCACCACCCCATTCTCTTGCCTGGACCAAGGAGTGAGGGAGAACACACAAGCTTTACTTGGTAAAGGAAGTTCAGGCAGACCTGGGGGTCTGGGTCATAGGCCTAAGATTCAGGGCCTCGGAACAAGAAGAAAGCACTGCCCTAGAAAGTCAAGAGATTTGGGTTCTAATCCCAGCTCTGCAGTTGATTACTGTGGCCCTTTGGGCAGACTTGTTAACCTCTAAAATTGAAATTTAATCTTTTTTCCCCATCATCAAAACAAAGGGGATAAACTAACATGACCTCTAAGATCCCTTCTAATTCCAAAATTTGATAAATATTATTTATTTTTTTAACCACACACCCATGCAAGTTACCTTGATTCCTTCACCCCTCTGTTATCAAAGGCAGTTTCCTACCATCTTTCATGGTAAGAAAACAATGAGTTAAAAGTTATAACAGAAATAGACCAATGGAATAGAATTGAAAGTCCAGAAATAAACCCATACACCTATGAACAATTGATTTTTGACAAGCGTGCCGAGATCATTCAATGGGGAAAGAAGAGTTTCTTCAACAAATAGTGCTGGGACGACTGGATCGCCACATGCAAAAGAATGAAGTTGGATCCCTACCTCACACCATATATAAAAATTAACTCAAAATGGATCATAGAGCTAAATATTAGAGCTAAAACTATAAACTCATAGAAGTCAATCTTTGCAACCTCAGATTTGGCAATCCTTTTTTAAATATGACACCGAAAGCACAAGCAACAAAAGAAAAAAGTAAATGAAATGGATTTCACCAAAATTAAAGACTTTTCTGCATCAGAGGATACCATCAAGAAAATGAAAGACAACTCGTAGAGTGGGAGAAAATATTTGAAAATCATATTTCTGATAAGAGACTTGTATCCAGAATATATAAAGAAATCTTACAATTAAACAACAAAAAATAACCCAATTTAAAAATGGACAAAGAATATAAATAGACATTTCTCCAAAGAAGGTATACATGAAAAGTTGCTCAACATCATCAGTCATCAGGAAAATGCAAATCAAAATCATGACGAGATACCCCTTCCTACCCACTAGAATAGCTATAACTGAAAAGACAATACCAAATGTTGGCAAGGATGTGGAGAAATTGGAGCCTTCATATGCTGCTGGTGGGAATGTAAAATGGTGCAGACCTTTTGGTAAACAGTTTAGCAGTTCCTCAAAATGTTAAAACGTTGTTACCATATGGCCCAGCAATCCTACTCCTAGGTATATAACCAACAGAAATGAAAACATATGTCTACACAAAACTTGTATATGAAGGTTCATAGCAGCATTATTAATAATAGCCAAAAGGTGGAAACAACCCAAATGTCCATCAACTGAAGAATGGATAAACAAAACGTGGTATATTCACACAATGGGTTATTATTCGGCCTTAAAAAGCAATGAAGTACTGACACATGCTACAACATGGATGAACCTTGAAAACATCATGTGAAGTGAAAGAAGCCAGTCACGGAAGACCACACGCTGTATGATTCTATTTATGTAAAATGTCCAGATGAGGCAGATTCATAGAGACAGAAAGTAGATTTGTCCAGGGTCTGGACGAAGGACAAATGGAGAGTGACTGCTAATCGGCACGCAGTTTCTTTCTGGGGAGATGAAAATGTTCTAAAGTTAGATAGCAGTGATAGCTGGACAACTCTGAGAATGTATAAAAATCACTGAATTGTAAACTTAAAATTTAAGGAAGAATTTTATGGTAGGTGAATTATATATCAATAAAGCTATTACAAAATAAAAAGTTTATATTCTTTTTCTTGCCTCCCAAGTTCTTATCAAGACTCCTACATCTCTGATGAAGGAGAATGGAGTCCTGTGGTTAAATCCAGCACCTTCAGTAGGCCAATATGATTCTACATTAGTGGTTCCCAACCACGGTGATTCTGTCCCCAGGGCACATCTGGTAATATGGAGACATTTTTGGCAGTCACGACTGGGGAGGGAAGAGCTACTGGCATCTGGTGGGTAGAGTCCAGAGATGCTGCTAAACATCCTAACATGCAAAGGACAGCCTCCCCACAACCAAGAATTATCTGGCCCCAAATGTCAATAATGGCGAGGTTGAGAAATCCTGATCTACATCTACACAGCACCAGATGAAGTGGGCCTTTGATTAAGGTTCAGTGCAGTCTAGTTCCACAGATAGCTACTGAGCAGCTGTATGAAGATCAGATGCTGGGCTCTGGGACACACTGGGGCTGGGGACACTGAAACGAATGTTCTAGAGGAGCAGGCCTTGTCTGTTTAGGCCATCGTTGTATCCTCAGATCCTCAGGTCTTGGCACGTTGCCCAGCTATTACATAACAGAGAAGGGAATGAAGATGGTCCCTGCCCCAGCCTCTGTAGGGCTTTCAGCCCAGCATCACTTTTGTCCACATTGACAGTGCAAATGTCAATTCCAGAGCAGATTCTCTCCAGGGCTCATTGGCCAAGGAGGAGCCAGCAGAGAAGAGATTTTCAAACAGAGTTCAACTCTCCTGGCACAGGGTGACACTCAGTGCCCGTCTCCTGAGAAGCCCACAGGACGCAGGTTCTGAGGACCATCAGGCTCAGTGGACACCAAGTGTGCTTGGGTCTGGCTTGCTGCTGGAGAATGAGTTTTAAGTCTGGGTTACAGCTAAGCTATCTCCACCTGTCTCTAGGTCACGTGAGGAAAGAAGCTCATGACTTGCACTGAATTCTCTTCTGATGCCCAGCTGGCTGGACTAAGCTGGGCAACACAGCCAAACGGGAAGAACAAGCTAGAGAAGGTGTTCCTGAAGGCAGGCCATCTGGGGGGTGGGGACCCTGCCCTGTGTGGTCCAAATGAGGAGGAGGTAGCCAGGGACATGGTCCTGGTCACCCAACCTGTGGGCTTCCATGACTCCTGAACACCATTCTCCAAGATCTATCCTTTCCCAGTGCCTTCTGGCAACTAGAAAGGTGGCCCTAATTCTCAGACAGTGCGTCCTTAGGAGCGATCCCCTCTGCCAGCTCCCCTCCCCCCAGACCACACTTCCCTCCGCTCCTCAGCTCAGTGACCTCCCTCCTTGCTCCTGTTTCTTTCCAACTTCCATCTCCTTGTCTCCAGGGTGCTTGATAAACATTATTCTAATTGTGAAATGTGCGATTCCAGTCTCACCTAATTAATTTGGATACGCCGGAGGAAATGGGTTAAGGCCTGAGCTACTTTATAAGGGTAGGAAAGAAAATTGGTCACTTGAGGAACAGGCAAGCAGATGCTGTAAAAGAGCAGGCAGCAGGTGTCAGGGTCTGAGAGAGACAGAGACTTCGAAGGAGGGGAAAGACAGGGACAGACAGACAGTGACAAACAGAGAGAATGGGAGAGACAGACGGACAGAGGTAGAGGCAGAAAGAGAGGGAAGGGAAACAGGTGGAGAAAATGAAATGACAGAAATGAAGCCAAACAAATGGAAAGAGAGCGAGAGACAGTCAGAGACTCAGAGGCAGAGAGAGGCAGAGATGAGGGAGGAAGAGAAAGAGACACAGACGAGCAGACAGAGAGAAAAGGGAGACAGAATTAGAGGGACAGAGACAAATACGTAGAAAAAGCAA